TATAATATAATATCAATATATTTAATATAATATTTTAATAATATAATATTTAATATAATACATTATTTTATTTATACAAAAATATAATATGTTATACAATAATTACTAATTAACATTATATTAGTATGCTACATTATATAATAATTGATATAATATATGAATAATATATATAATATAATACTTTAATAATATATTATTTAATTTAATATATTATAATATAGTATCATAGGATATAATGTACTTTATAAAATATTATAATATTTACATTTTTCAAGGATATATTTTTTAAAATATTATATTAAATTAACAATAATATATATACATACATTAATTACAAATATATATATTAATAGGTATCATGTTATAGTATAATATATTATATTTTTCAAACTATAGTATTATATTATATTATATCATAATATTTATAATAATTAGTAATTATTATATATATTTAATTAGTTGTCATAATATAATAATATAATAATATTTTAATAATAATTATATAATAATATATTATATAATAATATATTTATTAAAATATATATAATATTTATAATAAATACGTTATACTATAATTACTAATTAATATTTATAATAATATATTTAACATATACTTTAATAATGTTATTAAAATATTTATATATGTTATTAAATATCTAATATATGTTATTATATATATTATTAATATGTTATTAAATTTTAATATATTTATTAAAATATTAATGATATTATAATAAATACGTTATACTATAATTACTAATTAATATTATATAATAATATATTACATAATATTATTAATATATGTTATTAAAATATTATATAATATTATAATAAATATATTATATTATAGTTACTATTATATAATATTATTAATATATGTTATTAAATTATGTTATTAAATTATGTTATTAAAATATTAATATATGTTATATTTTATATATCATATCATATATTTATAATATAATTAGCATGTATTAGTTAAGTAATACAAAAATATTTTAAAATTATCCCAATTGCCTTTAAAGTGGAACAACATTGTTCCAATATGGAGGATGGAGTAAATTTGGGGTAATTATGAGGAAGGGGTGGAGGGGATATTTATATAGTTGGTGTAATTTAGGGCATGTTTGTTTCGGCCAAAAAATGCAGAAAATGAGGGAAAATGGCCTTTGGGAAAACTGACACGGGGTAAATTTGTTACTTCCCCTCACAATCGGGTGTTTGTTTTGTTAAAAAGAAAAAAGAAAGTGAAGAAACGTGCGGGCTTTCTGACAGCTTTTTCGCCCTTCCATTTTCCGCTCGAAAACGCCTGATTACAGCGAAAAACGCCTCTTTGTTCTCTCCCGTACAAAAATCTCCGATTGCTCTTCCCCTTTCCACTCGTTCTGGTTCCCGTACAAAAATCTCCGATTGCTCTTCCCCTTTCCACTCGTTCTGGTTACCCCTCTCTCCCGCTCCCGGCCCTCTCTCCCGCTCCCGCCCTTCTCTCTCTCCCGCTCTCCGATTGCTGTCTGACGCCGATTGAAACCCCTCTCTCCCGCTCCCGCCCTTCTCTCTCTCCCGCTCTCCGATTGCTGTCTGACGCCGATTGAAACCCTAACCTTCGAACAAAAGGGGAAACAGTACAAGATCTTGGTTGATTTATGGAGGTACATTGCTAAAAATCAAATCTTTTGTATTTATTTAATTTTTTATGGCTTTCATTTATCAATTTCCTTCTTCCTAAAATCAAATCTTTTGTATTTATTTAATTTTTTATGGCTTTCATTTATCAATTTCCTTCTTCCTTTGATGCCAGGTTTAAAATTTGTCTGAGTTTGGGTATTTTGACCACCATTTCCCACTACGATTTGCAAAACGACTTCAAATCTGAGTTTGGGTATGTTGAAGATATGCAGCTAAAGTTTATACTAGTGATCAATTGGCGAGGCAGTAAATGCAGCCAACATTGCTATTATAAACTTCATGACGTGGCATATAATGAAGAAAGAGCCTTTTCTGAGCACATTTTCTATAATTTCTTTTGAGCTTTGGTTTGATTTCCAGTCTCTTGGTTGGTTGGCCCTTGAGCTCAGTTGTGCTTTTTTGTGGTTTCTATTGTGTGCCTATAATGTTGCAATGGTTTCAGCTTGGCCTCATGTTGCTTGGCCCTTGGTCAGCATGGTTTCAACCTCCTCTCGGCCTTGGTTTCAGCTCTTGGTTGTTTTGGTTTGCTATTTCCATGTTGGTTGTTTGGTTTGTTGTTTCCATGTTGATGATTCATGTTCAGGTGTGTTTTTTTGGTTGGTTGCAGCCTCTTGTTGCTTGGCCCTTGGACCCTAAATAGTTGTGTTGGCCTTTGGTTGACCTTTGGTTTGGTGAGTCTAGATTTGTGATTCATTTCAGTTGTGTGCTTTCTTGTGGTTTATGCTATACTACCTGACATGTTGCTTGGCCTCATTTTCCTGTGTCAGATATCATACTCCCATTTTATTGGCTTTTTGGCCCAAACAAAGTGCTATGACTTTGTTTCAGTTGTGCTTTTTTGTGGTTTCCATTGTGTACCTGACATGTTGCAATGGTGAGCCTGGATTTTTGCAATGGTTTCAGCTTGGCCTCATTTTCAGCTTGGCTCTTGTTCGCCTATTTTCATGCTTTATGTGACTGGGTTGATCAGTTCTGTGAGTCTGAATTTGTGTTTCAGTTGGCCTTTGGTTTCAGGTGCTTGGTCTTTGGAGCTAAGTTGTTGTGTTCGCTTTTGGTGAGCCTGAGTTTGTGTTCTAGTTGGCCTTGGTTTCAGCTCTTGGTTGTGTTGGTTTGCTGTTTTCATGTTGGTTGTTTGGTTTGCTGTTTCCATGTGATGATTCATGTTCAGGTGTGTGCTTTCCTTGGTTGCAGCCTCTTGTTGCTTGGCCCTTGGACCCTAAATTTTTGTGTTGGCCTTTGGTTGGCCATGGTTGCAATGGTTTCAGCTCTTGCTTGGCCTTTGGTTGGTCAGCTATGGTTGGCCTTCGGATTCAGTTGAAGCTTGGCCTTTATTTCAAATTTGTGCAGGTTTATTGTACTCTCTGCCTTGGTTTCAGCTCTTGGTACTATTATGTGTTGTTGGTCAGCTATGGTTGGCCTTTGGTTTCATGTTGATGCTTGGCATTTGTTTTAATTTTGTGCATTGTTTCAACATGCTCTCGGCCTTGGTTTCAGCTCTTGGTTGGTTTTTGGTTGGTATGAATATTTTGTGTTATAATGATGGGCTATTTTTAAGATATGCAGCCAAAGTTTATAGCAACAATATATTGGCGAGGCAATATATTGCAACCAACATTGCTATTTATAAACTTTATGGCGAGACAGATAATGAAAAAAATGGCCTTTTCTGAGCACAACTATGATGATGGGTGGTAATCTTACCATGGTGACCACAATCAAGTTTTCTTGATTTTTTTTAATTTGAACCAAACACTAGAAAATGAGGGAATCTATTCACACATCAATTATTTTCTTCTTTTTTCAAGTTGAACCAAACACTAGAAAATGATGGAAAGTACTTTCACTACATATTTTTGGGCGAAACAAACACAAGAAACATTTTTTAGGAAAGTGAAGGAAACACAAGAAAGTGAAGAAAAGTCATCTATAGAAAGTGAAGGAAACGAACCAAACAGTCCCTTAGGGGAAAGTGGAGTATTTGTCCCCCAATTACCCCAACAAATCAATAACACCACAAAGTTGACTCCAATTCCAATTACCCCAATGAATAACACCAAAAAGTGATGTTCTAAAAATTATCCCATTATCCCCCAAATTACACCAATGAATAACCCCCCTAAGAGAATGTTTCAAACCTGCTATTTCATTACAAAATGACAGTGATCAGCGTTCAGTCAGATTCTTACATGCCCCTGCAAAAAAAAAAAAACTATGAATTTTCCCTCGCAAAACTATATCATAATTAGATTCACAACCTAAAAAAAAAAAAAATTCTGCCACTTATCGCAAACATAATAAAATTCAATGCACCGATGGCTTACTGGTCAACTTGTGGTCCCCCTTCTGGTGCATAAATCTTCTCCCAAGACAACCTCAACGGTTCTATTTAAGATGCACGAATATATAGTCAGCTTTTATGGAAGCCAAGCCATTAAAAAAGACTGATCCAAACCCACACCCGCTGATGATGGTTCTTTGTTTATAAACCCAAAGTAATGCCCTAATTTTTAGATCGACCAACTTTCAAAGTCATTCTTAAACCCAATTTGACATACTTAATTAACTTTAGACCCTGATTCTGTATTTCATTGTTAGTGCTTTGCTATAATTTTATCTGCTATATTTACGTTTAAGTTGATTTTTTTTAGGGGGGGATGTTGCTATATCTTTTACATACCGAATCGCAAACCTTTATTTCTTACAGTAAATAAGCAGCATCAGTGTAATATTCGTAACTTAGTTAGTATTTTCATAAAAATAAGGATTATTTACATCTTGGTACATAAGTTAGTATTTTCATAAAAACACGGGTTATTCACATCTTGGTACTTTGTGGTATGGTGCAAATGTGCAATTACATGGATGATTCAAGTATTTGTGTATCTACGCAAATAATGTTGAGATTACTGATTGAGATTACATGGATAACCTTAATCAAAGAAATCTAAGGGCTCCTCAAGGTTGCCTATGTAATATCACTCAGCGACCTCAGAATTAGATACATAAACTCCGTGTAATTATATCATATCACAGGGTGTCATAATGTAAATAATTAAGTATGGTAATTTGGGTTCAATGAATTTGGAAGTGGGTGGGTTTAAAAACGAATACGGCTAAAACTTTGGGTTTAGTAACGAAAAACCCACGAATGAATGCAAGTGATGGTACACTCAAATTTTTGAAATCAATCACATGCGCAAACTAACCGTTGAGACACCATGCAGGCTAGAGTGCCATCTTTACAGCTACGATCCAACGGCTACGATTCACTAGCCGTTGCCTTCAAACTTAAAAGGACTCCATCTCCAGACAACATCTCCGCTCTTTTCGTTCTCAATTCTTTTTCTTGTAAAAAAAAAATTCTCCTCTTTCTCTCTCTTTCCTTGTTATTATTACTCGCTCACTTCTCAATCAAAGGGGAGAGAGTGAGTGAGTGAAATTGGGAGATTTGAGGTTTTGGTCGATTCTTTTGATTATTTTTTTCTGGGTTTTTAAAATCTTGATGGGTTCCTGAATTCGGGGGGTTTTGTTTGTTTTTTTATTAGGATTGTCGATGACGATGGAAGGAGCTAATGAGAACAGAGGAATTGTTAAGCCGGTGAATTTTAGAGGTAATTTGTTGTTAATGGTTCTTTTCTGTAGAGTGATCGGTTCCAAGAATTGATCTTGGCTGAAAATTTGGGTTTTTTTATCCACAGAGATGGGGACTAGGAGAGCCCTGAAGGATATAAAGAATTTGGTTGGGGCTCCTCCTTACCCTTGTGCAGTTACTAAAAGGGCTTTGACAGAGTAATTTCTTTACAAATTTTCTAAGTTTTGATTGACGGTTTTTTTTTTCTTAATTTCTTTAATCTTTGGGTTTTTTTTTCCTATTTTCGTATAGTAAGAATGTAATTGCTGACGAGAACCAGGCCATCGCAACCCGGCGACCAATCACAAGGTCTAAAGAAACTTACCCTTTTTCTAGTTTCTAGTCTTTTACACAAATTATTTAAAAATTTGCTTTTTTTTCCCAGGAAGTTTGCTGCTTCATTGGCAAATAAACCACAACCTAATCTTGAGGTACTATTATTCTTCATTCTAAAGAACTAATCACTTGTAGCCGACCAATTTGTTTGATTTCCTCAATGAGTTAACTTTTCTATTTGTATAGGATGCAAGTAATAAGCATGGGATTATTGGGATTGAGAAGCACAATAAACCTACTGACGTGGAGTTTGATCGCTCAGTCAATGACTTGTCGATGATCGAGGATTCTGAGGAAATGGTTCGCGCTTTCTATTTTCATTCTATTATGGAATTTTATCTCAGTTGTCTTGATTCAGTGTTAGCCTTCATGTATGGATTTACTTTTGTGTGCTTTCTGTTTTCAGGAGGATTGCAACATTGTCAAGGAGATCGTGATGGAGGATTTAGTTGCGGAAAGTGCGATGGATATTGACAAATGTGATGCAAATAATCCGATGGCTGTTGTTGAGTACGTAGATGATATATACAACTACTATAAGCGAGTTGAGGTATTCTTTTGGTCCCTTTCATTGTCATATTTTCCTTCATTGTTGATTGATGTCTTTAATGAAATTACTGCAATTTAGAATATCTACAAAAAGTAAAAAATTTACTCGATCAAATTCGTGTTATCTGATGTAGATGAATGTAGGACACCAAAGATCTGAACGTTTACATAACAAGGCGGGTATCATTATTGTCCGACTAATTCATCAGTGTTATATTGTTAATAAATAGAGAAGTTTTATTTTGAGTTAAGATTTTATGTTATCCTCTAGTCCCACATTGACTATTTAGGTGGTTTGATGTGAATTTTGATGCAAAAATGTCTCAGGTTTTAACCTGACAAAATGTTACAAATAGTGTGGAAGCCATAGGTGGTTCTAGGTTAGGGAAGATCTACATGGGTTTGATTTGTCCAAATAAAATTGACAATATTTGTAGTTTGACGTAGATTTACAAAAATGTTGGTCACTCCTAATGAATACACTTTGGAGATGAGTTTTCCTGGGGCTCTGCAATTTTTAATTTGAAAGTTATGATATCATAATCTGGTAGATCATCGAGACTGTCCTTTCAGTTTCCAGCAAAAATAGGAAGAGGGAATGTTAATGTGACTATCAAATAGTGTCATTCATATAGATTGTGCTCCCCGTTTACTTTATTTTTAAAACTAAATCACTGCGTTAGTTTCTTTGATGGCCTAATGTTACTTTATTTTCCAATTCATGCAGGTCTCCGGCTGTGTAAGTTCTGATTACATGTCAAACCAGTTTGACATCAATGAGAAAATGCGAGCTATTCTCATCGACTGGCTGATAGAGGTACATGAAGTTCTTCAAATATGTAGTCGATCGAGAGTACTTGTACCATCTTTAATTGCATCACCACCTTCAGGTTCATTACAAATTTGAGCTTATGGACGAGACACTATATCTCACTGTCAACATCATAGACCGATTTCTAGCAAGGCAATCTGTCATTAGGAAGAAGCTGCAATTGGTTGGAGTTACAGCAATGCTTCTTGCTTGCAAGTATGAGGAAGTATCGGTTCCAGTCGTCGAGGATTTGATCCTAATCTCTGACCGAGCTTACAAGAGGGAAGAAGTACTTGAAATGGTGAGAATTTTCGTTTTCCTTATTATAACTATAACTATGCCCAAAATATTATGGTACTGATAATTAATCAATTATATCGTTATGTGCAACCAGGAGAGATTGATGGTGAACACTTTGCAATTTAACATGTCGGTGCCAACTCCCTATGTTTTTATGAGGAGGTTCTTGAAAGCAGCTGAATCTGACAAAAAGGTGTTAAGTTCGTTATTAGATCATAATTTGATTCACCAAAGATTACTGATACTCTTTCATATACCTTGATTTTGTTTTCGCAACCCTATTATCAGTGTTGAATCAAATAAATATGCTTTGAGATAGATAAAATGGATCAGTTTATTCCAACCGCTTATTGGAAATCTCGGTGTTATTTCGTGAATGAAATTTCTTTTTTTATCTTTGTTTTTCAGTTGGAGCTCCTTTCCTACTTCATCATCGAGCTTTCTCTTGTCGAATACCAAATGCTCAAGTTCCAGCCTTCACTGTTGGCCGCTGCAGCCATTTACACTGCTCAGTGTAGTCTAAAAGGCTTCAAGCATTGGACGAAGACCAGCGAGCTACACACTGCGTATACAGAGGATCAACTTCTGTAAGTTATTATTTTGTCGTAATTCACTTCAAAATTTGTTTTCACACAAAATTATTGACTGACAACTTCATTACTTTAACAAATTTATTTGCAGTGAGTGTTCGAGACTGATGGTGGATTTTCACCAGAAGGCTGGGGCTGGGAAGCTCACTGGCGTTCACAGGAAATACAGTACTTTCAAATTCGGATGCATGGCGAAATCTGAACCTGCTCTTTTCTTGCTGGATACAAGACTCTAGTGTTTTGACATAGATTTTCATGAGGGGGGGTTTGACATATGACGGCTAACCTAAGACGGGTTCTTATATTCTGGCAACAATCAATGACGCAACGGCGTGCAACGTAAGTTGCGTAAATTTTGGCAACTGAAGTTGCATTGAAACTGCATTTTATGTTTCTCGAAATCTCATACAGTCTCTTGTTTGCTGATGAGTATATATTATCAGGGTTTCTTAGTTTATATGCTCGAGGTGAATGTTCGACACTTGTAAAGTGACATTAATGTGTTTATTATGTCGTCGTTAAGTGGTCGAAATAAGAGGTATTCTTTTATAAAGATTTCTTTTTTTCCTCCTTGTGAATCATATCATACTGTGCTGTTTGGAAAGCTGATCATAGAAATTACTTTTCCCAGTTAATGAGTGACTTCTGTTTTAAAAGTATTTCTGTTAATGGTGGTTGGCTTTCGTTCGTGTGTTGACTGCATTTGTGAGAAGTATCTGCGATGAGAATTGCAAAGAGGTTTCGTTCACTGTGTATTTATATGTTTTTTTCCCCTTCCTAAATTATCATGAGCTGAGTTATCCAAATTGTATATTTTAATTTAACTATGCAAATGATTTTCTATCAAGAGATACTTAATTCAGATTAAATTATGGGTTGGTTGGCAATCCTTTTTGACAAAGAGTGCAATTATATACTTCTGTTTATGATTTAATTTAGCCTAATAATTTTCTATGAAGAGGAATGATTTTATATGAAGGGGAGATGTGAGATGTAAATATTTAGAAATACTTGGATTTAGAAATAAGTTCCCCTAAATCTTACTTATGTTTAAATAAGTCCCCCAAATCTTACTTCTTTTTAAATAAGTTCCTCAAATCTAATTTTTTAAATAGGTTTCCCAAAACTCATATGTTTTAAATAAGTCCACCGTATCTATAAGGTCTCCCCCTATGTTGAAAAAACTATTAACTTAAAGTCTAAGCTATCAAAATTTCATTTTAATCTTGGAAGTTGTCTTGCTCTTCCCTAGATATTTCCCCCCAGAAACTCTTCTCTCTGTCTCTTTCCGTGTTTTCCATTTGTTAAGAAGTCTCTATAGCACTATATTGCAGGTATACATTAGGCATGAGTATCTAGAGAAGATGACAGGGAAACTAGCAAGGTTATGTAGTTTAATTAATTCAGAGTTATGTTAACAAATTTCTATCTCGAGGGACTCATTTAAGAAAACCTATAGATTTGAGGGACATATAAAATATGGCAAAATAGCCAGATTGATATATATTTTTCGAGGCTTGGTGACATGTTGGTATATTTTCTTTTTGTTTTGTCAGATTGGTATATTTTTCAACTCCGGCGCCATATAGGCCTTAGATTTGGCTGGAGTTACTGTTCCGACCAAAATTTAATTACTGTTCCGGCCAAAAATCCCATCAGCCCTGGTCAGAACAGTAACTCCAGCCAAATTTAAGGCCTAAAAATATACCAATCTGACAAAACTAAAAAAAAATATACCAACATGTCACCAAGCCTCGGAAAAATATGCCAATCTGGCCATTTTGCCAAAACTATATAAGATTTTGAGAACTTATTTGAGAACACTGATACGGTGGACTTCGTTAAAAATTTGAGGGCGTGGGGACCGGGGGACTTAATTAAAAATAAGTCAGATTTAAGGGACAAATATGTATAGCTTAATGATTTTCTATGGAGAGGAGACGCAATTTAGCAATTTCAAGCTTCAGATGTATATATTTTATAGGTACTTGGGTTTAAAAGATAATCTATATATTGGATATGTTTTGGGCATAAACGAAATTTCTAACAACAACTGGGTTTCACGCTAAGAAAAACATTACCTCCCATCTCCCTACATAAAATGCTGTCATCTGAACTCAAACCAAAATCTGAATCCGAGTAATTTGGGGGAAATATGGAGAACACGAGCACTCTGAGAGAATGGTTCCACCGAGTTGACTCAAACAACACCGGTAACATCACCGCTCCCCAGCTCCAGGTCCTCTTCTTTGTCTCTTTGCTTCAATTTTTAGCCCTAAATCCTAAAACCCTAAGATCTTGTTTTTTCCGCCCTGATTTGATTTGGATTTTGGCGATCAGAGAGCTCTGGCGGTGGGAAACCTTCGATTCCCCCTCTCGATCGTTCAGCAAATGATCAGGTTCGGTCTCTTGATCGATCGTCCTTTGTAGGGTTTGTAGCGTTGATGTGTTTTTAAAATGGCTCTTTGTTTTTGCAGGATGTATGATTTCGATATGAACGGGACTATGAGTTTTGAAGGTGGGTTGAGATTTATTTTCTTCGCAAAATTTTGGTGTTTTTAGTTATTTTTTAAAAATAATCTTTGCTTGCATTTAGTTAGCTTCTTCTTTATGTAATTTTGATTAGTTAAAGTTTATTACTGCTACATTAACTTATATGTGTTCTATTGTTGAACATGACCCTTAAAACGTATGAATGCCTGTTGTTGTCGAAGCTACTAGAAAACTATCCCTGCTTATGTAATTTTATTGGTCTGTTCTTGCAGAATTTGTCGCTCTTAACAAGTTCCTTTCTAAGGTGAGTATTTCTACTAAGTTTTTAGTAAGTTTGGGATGATACATTTCAAACTGTGTTACACTTGTCATTCATTATGTGCTTGTTATTCTATCGTGCCTCATTTGTTTAACAATATGCTTACATGAAGGGCCGTACATTTTTAATACAAGGTCAAATATACTTAGAACCTGTGAATATATATTTACGTAAAACATTTGATATGCTTTGGACATTTTAGTTTTATTGAAGGAACTCAGACAGATCATTCATCTTAAGTATATTGAGTTGATATTTTAACATTAATATGATAGAAGGAACCATGTGAATATCTTGAATGTTCTAAAGACAGAATAAACAGACTAAAAGTTCAAATGGTATATCGACGTGGTGCAAGGTCAGTTAGAGCTTGGAGATTGTCTTGGAGCTAGGTTGTACTAAACATTTCATTCTCTATTTATTTTCTTGCTTGTATGCATCACGTTAGATGTGTTTGTTTAAGTTCTTGGTGATAGTTTTCTTTGTCTTCACAATGATGAGCACCATATATTCTCAAGGAATTTAGGAAATGCCATAATTTGATTTATAACAGTTAATTTCTCCTTAGATATGTGTTTGACTTATGTTTAACGTTTCTGTAGGTTCAAAATGCCTTTGGAGAACTAGAAAGGTTTCTACTAGTTCCTTCCTTTATGCCTATGATATTATTCCTTGTCTCCTTAAATCTGATTGCTTCATTATTCTTATATTGATGCTAATTGAAACCTTAAATAGTGGCTAGCGTATGAACTAGAAAAAAGTTAAGATTTTTTCTATCCAAGTTGCAAGGTGCACCTACATTCTTCTGACATGCTAGACCATCTGCTCACAACCTTTCCGCAGATGCTTTAGATAACAAACTTCATCAGCAGTGCAAAGGTTTGACGTTGGCTGCTGCATATACTGAACCTACCCCAATGTAGGTATTCCATAAACGGGTACAGTAAACCCACATATATAAGTAAACTACTTGTAGAATTTCTAATTAAAATATCAAATACAGTAATCTGATATGCTTAACTCTTCCTTGAGCCTTTCCTTATATGTCAAAGTGGATACACACCAAGTTTTATAAAAAGCAATTGGGCAGTTAAATTTATAATGACCATAGGAATAAAATTGCTATTATTTTATTACTATCAGCAATTAAGCACTTGTGTGTATGGTTGATATAAGAGCAAATTTATAATTGGTCTTTCAGTTAAGCTGGTGTGATATCAGTGAGCAATATTTAAGACACATGGAACTACTAGTATGAAGAACTACAGATATGCGATATTGGTGACAAGGCAGATCCATGAAAATATATTATATTAGACTTTAGCCTCAATAGCTGCCGTAAAAGAGATTGGGAAAATAATAATATATTCTTCTATTGTTGAAAAGGCCTTTAACAGCTTGATTATGGAGGATATGTTGAACTTTGAAACTATAATCTGATATCATCCAAGTGCTGTGCTTTGTGTTTAACACATATTTTTAGGCAAGATGGTTATCAGTCATTTCTAGTAGCCCAGTCGCATAGCAGTGCATGTAGAAAAAGTCAACATTGATGAGGGATGATGTGGGGGTCTCTTGAAAACAATTATTATAGGACAAATGCCAGTTGAAAATGCCATCATATGGGAGATTCTTTGGACAACAAGAGTATGCTGGTGAACTAAGTTCAGAAAAGAGCCCTACTGTCAAAGGTTTATTCATAGGTAGTGTGATATCACTCAAAAGTGTAACATACTAAGTGTATGGTTGGCCATAAATATTTACAGAAAGCGCTAGAGCCTAGGCAGTTTTCCTATTTTTATTTTTTAATTACTATAATTGATAGTAAATGTCATGTCATAGAAAGCTTAGGTGTTGAACTAGGGTCGAAGCGGATTTCTTTTTTCGTAGTGGTGGTGGGAGAGGTTTTGCTAAAGACAGGTGTTCATAGTTAGAGATTGGAGGTGTTTGGAGGACGTGGAGAGGGTGCAGTGGAGGAAATCACGATCAAGGCTTAAAGGGTGCAGTTTATGTTAGCAGCCCATGCTCCCCTAGACGCTCGCAAAATCTAGGTAGGTAGCCTAGGTATCGCCTAGGCGATAGGCACTAAGCGGGCGGTCTAGGTACTACCTAGGCCTAGGCGGACACCTAGGTGAGCTAGGTGAAAGCTTTTTAAAACATTGATTGTCAATGGTTATGCCTAGCATTGCATCTTATCTCATTGCCTATGCCTAACATTGCATCTTATCTAAGTAAGGAATCTATTGAATCCTTGATTGTGTTGACCCTATAGTTTTGATGATGATTTGTCAAACAATTTATCGCTAATATATTCTCTAGTTTTTGTGTTTATGTTTCTCTTTTCAGGTATTTCAACACACGTCAATCAAGCGTTAAAGATTCAAGTTCATATGTGTGGATTTACCTAGGTATATGTTTGGTTTACTTACATATATTGTATGATTATATCTAAGCTCAATATAAGTATACTTAACACGAATTTTGACGTTTTCTATCATATAAATGATTTTTCATCAAACGTTGTTACAATAACTTTTATCTCATGTTTACAGCTCTTTCATACTTCATTATATACATATAATACATGCATAATATATATATACATATTTACAAGCCTTATGTCAATAAGTCATATCTCAATTTTTCATGTTCACGAAAAATAGGTTTTCTGAACACTTTTCAAAAACAGGGAGTTTTCACAAACGAAAATTGATTTTCCAAAAATTTCTTTTCAAACATGTTTATTTCATCATTTAGAAACTTTCCCCAAAGTTTTACTATTTTTGGAATTGATTTGATATTTTTAATGTATTTACAAAAGCGATGAGTGAAACTTTGGAGAAAGTTTCTAAATGATGAAATAAACATGTTTGAAAAGAAATTTTTGGAAAATCAATTTTCGTTTGTGAAAACTCCCTGTTTTTGAAAAGTGTTCAGAAAACCTATTTTTCGTGAACATGAAAATTGACATAAGGCTTGTAAATATGTATATATATATTATGCATGTATTATATGTATATAATGAAGTATGAAAGAGCTGTAAACATGAGATAAAAGTTATTGTAACAACGTTTGATGAAAAATCATTTATATGATAGAAAACGTCAAAAATCGTGTTAAGTGTACATATATTGAGCTTAGATATAATCATACAATATATGTAAGTAAACCAAACATATACCTAGGTAAATCCACACATATGAACTTAAATCTTTAACGTTTGATTGACGTGTGTTGAAATACCTGAAAAGAGAAACATAAACACAAAAACTAGAGAATATATTAGCGATAAATTGTTTGACAAATCATCATCAAAACTATAGGGTTAACAATCTTCTCCTTTTTGATGATGGCAAACAATTTATACATGAATATGAATTATAAACTGATAACCCACATATAAGCCAAACATGAATAAATCATACATGAATGATCACATAAACCATATATGAATATGAATGAATATATAAATCATATGTGGATTTTTCTCCCCCTTTGACAACATCAAAAAGGAAAAAAAAGAAAAATAGGAGCAACAGATAGAAAACCAAATATATGTCAAAAGTGCCCCCTGTCAAATAGAATAAATGACAACTAAAGAGCATATATAGGAGCTAAACAATAATTATCCATTAAAAACAATCATAAACAGTATATAAATCAAAGAACTCATCATTAGCAACTTATTTTCCACAAACAAAACATGAACATAGTTTCAACCATGCATTGATCATAGAAAAGATAAACTAACACAATAAATCACAAATCATCACTTAAGCATTTAGAAACTACATAGTTTTGCATAAACATAGTTTGTTCCACAAGACATCAAACCATACATAAAAAGTCACATAGTTCCACACTAATATAGAGTTATTACACTCAAACGAAAAAACATAGATATCAAGTTTTACAACTCAAAATGGAACATCACCATAAGCATAGAAATCAATTAAAAGAACTCCAATAATCAGCAAGATCAATCATCACCATCACCATCAGAAGAGCCTGAGCCATCAGCAGGGCCCTCCTCAGAATCAGACTAGAACTAGAAGAGGGATCCGGAATCCCGAGAGACTGACGCTGATAGGATAGAATGGTCTTAACATCCCTCTGGATAGTTGAGACTTGCTTCTGAACACTTGAGAACTGAGTCTCAAGACGATCCAGACGGTCACAAATATCAGAGGTGGATGAGAAAGAGGCTTTAGACCGGGAACGAGATGGCTGAAGAGGATCAGATAAGGAATAGGAAATCTGCATCCGGGAAAGAGAAACATTATCAAAGAAATCCTTCTTAGATTCAATTTTAGGTTCCTGGGTGAGATCAACACATAAATGTTAAAGAATAAGAGTGATGAAGGAGCCAAAGGGTAGAAATTTGAAATGCTTCGATGCTATGTTTTTGAGAAAAATATTTGCCCAATCTATTTTTATTTTGGCAAATATGGCATATACCGTATTGATCTTGTCAGAAGCAAAATGATCGAAACTATCGGTTTTAGGAATCAAGTTTTGAACAACGATTCTAGCAATGAGTTTGGCATTTGGATTGAGAGAATTGTTGTTCATTGGATAAGTGCAACCGGGTTTAAACATGAGATGGTTTACAGCTGGATCATCTAGTTCAATAGACATAAGGTCAACTTCACCTGTTGGGATTTTTAGAATCCCCGCAAGTTCGTTGGCAGAAAACATAAGGTCAACTTCACCTGTTGGGATTTTTAGAATCCCCGCAAGTTCGTTGGCAGAAAAAGAAATTGGTATCAGAGCTTATGTCTATTGAACTTGCGGGGATTCTAAAAATCCTAAAGTTTTCCCAAAGAAATTTGTTAGAAAACGATGAGTGAAAAGCGTTAATCAAATATTCTAACAAAAGTTTATTCATGTTAAACAATCTTTTATCATTTTCACACCATTTGGATTTTTCCAAAATGGGAACAACATAGGCATCCTCAATAATTTCCCATAAATTAAATTGTTTAGATTGAACGAAAAGTTTGAATCTAATACGTCATTGAGCATAGGAAAAAATATCCAAACGAGGAGCAATATTAATAGCATATCCTAAACAAGATGAATCATACATATCCATAAAGATGAAATACAAGAAGCACAATGTAATTAAAATTAGATTAGCACAAATACAATAACTTGGATCTTTAACTCAAGACGGTTAGTCCTTAAATCAAAGAGCACTAAGCTCTGATACCAATTGTGTGATTATTAGAATCCCCGCAAGTTCAATAGACATAAGCTCTGATACCATTTTTTTTTTTCTGCCAACGAACTTGCGGGGATTCTAAAAATCCCAACAGGTGAAGTTGACCTTATGTCTATTGAACTAGATGATCCAGCTGTAAACCATCTCATGTTTAAACCCGGTTGCAAAGTTGACCTTATGTCTATTGAACTAGATGATCCAGCTGTAAACCATCTCATGTTTAAACCCGGTTGCATTTATACAATGAACAACAATTCTCTCAATCCAAATGTCAAACTCATTGCTAGAATCGTTGCTCAAAACTTGATTCCTAAAACCGGTAGTTTTGATCATTTTGCTTCTGACAAGATCAATGCGGTATATGCCATATTTGCCAAAATAAAAGTAGATTGGGCAAATGTTTTTCTCAAAAATATGACATCGAAGCATTTCAAATTTTTACCATTTGGCTCCTTCATCACTCTTATTCTTCAACATTTCTGTGTTGATCTCACCCAGGAACCTAAAATTGAATCTAAGAAGGATTTCTTTGATAAGGTTTCTCTTTCCCGGATGCAGATTTCCTATTCCTTATCTGATCCTCTTCAGTCATCTCGTTCCCGGTCTAGAGCCTCTTTCTCGTCCACCTCTGATATTTATGACCGTCTGGATCGTCTTGAGACTCAGTTCTCAAGTGTTCAGAAGCAAGTCTCAACTATCCAGAGGGATGTTAAGACCATTCTATCCTATCAGCGTCAGTCTCTCGGGATTTCGGATCCCTCTTCTAGTTCTGAGTCTGATTCTGAGGAGGGCCCTGCTGATGGCTCAGGCTCTTCTGATGGTGATAGTGATGGTGATGATGATGGTGATGGTGATGATTGATCTTGCTGATTATTGGAGTTCTTTTAATTGATTTCTATGCTTATGGTGATGTTCCATTTTGAGTTGTAAAACTTGATATCTATGTTTTTTTGTTTGAGTGTAATAACTCTATATTAGTGTGGAACTATGTGACTTTTTATGTATGGTTTGCTGTCTTGTGGAACAAACTATGTTTATGCAAAACTATGTAGTTTCTAAATGCTTAAGTGATGATTTGTGATTTATTGTGTTAGTTTATTTTTTCTATGATCAATGCATGGTTGAAACAATGTTCATGTTTTTTTGGTGAATAATAAGTTGCTAATGATGAGTTCTTTGATTTATATACTGTTTATGATTGTTTTTTATGGATAATTATTGTTTAGCTCCTATATATGCTCTTTAGTTGTTATTTATTCTATTTGACAGGGGGAGCTTTTGGCATATATTTGGTTTTCTATCTGTTGCTCCTATTTTTCTTTTTTCCCCTTTTTGATGTTGTCAAAGGGGGAGAAAAATCCACATATGATTTATATATTCATCATATTCATATATGGTTTATGTGATAATTCATGTATGATTTATTCATGTTTGGCTTATATGTGGGTTATCAGTTTATAATTCATATTCATGTATAATGATTTATTCATGTTTGGCTTATATGTGGGTTATCAGTTTATAATTCATATTCATGTATAAATTGTTTGTCATCATCAAAAAGGGGGAGATTGTTGACCGTTATCAGTTTATAATTCATATTCATGTATAAATTGTTTGTCATCATCAAAAAGGGGGAGATTGTTGACCTTATAGTTTTGATGATGATTTGTCAAACAATTTATCGTTAATATATTCTTTAGTTTTTGTGTTTATGTTTCTCTTTTCAGGTATTTCAACACACGTCAATCAAGCGTTAAAGATTCAAGTTCATATGTGTGGATTTACCTAGGTATATGTTTGGTTTACTTACATATATTGTATGATTATATCTAAGCTCAATATATGTACACTTAACACGATTTTTGACGTTTTCTATCATATAAATGATTTTTCATCAAACGTTGTTACAATATCTTTTATCTCATGTTTACAGCTCTTTCATACTTCATTATATACATATAAATGCATAATATATATATACATGTTTACAAACCTTATGTTAATTTTCATGTTCACGAAAAACAGGTTTTCTGAACACTTTTCAAAAATAGGGAGTTTTCACAAACGAAAATTGATTTTCCAATAATTCCTTTTCAAACATGTTTATTTCATCATTTAGAAACTTTCCCCAAAGTTTCACTATTTTTGGAATTGATTTGATATTTTTAATGTATTTACAAAACAGCCCAAAAACCTGTCACATAACATATATCAGATTCCGGTCGACCGGTGCGGTCGACTGCCAATGTTAATTTTTCCCTGATATAGTTTTTATGTGCTCGCGGTCGACCGCACCAGTCGATTGTGAAAATATCCAGAGACTTTCGTCGCGGTCGACCGTCAGCTTTATTTTTCATACTCTGAGTTTTTGAGCTTCGCGGTCGATCGGACCGGTCGACCGCCGAACTGTCAGAACTTTTACAACGGCTAGTTTTTACAGCTGTTTTTAAATTGGGTTTTTGGTCTTTTACTTATGTTTTTGTTGTTGTATTGGGGTGCTATATATACCCCATTGCTGCTCTTTCTCTATATAACTATGAAATCCAAGTTTTGTTTTTAACAAAATATTAAGTGTGTTTAAAGTTGATTTTATCAATCAGTTTTCAAGATAAGTTTTTCTACAACAAGAAGTAGCCTTCAATTCCTACTGGGATCATCATCTACTGTTCTTCTTGTTTGAGAAGTCTTCTAAACTCTTATATAGCTTGTTATTTCACTTTTATTTCATTTAGCTATATTTATTGAGTTTCATTCACTATTATCACACACACTTATTGAGCTTAATATTTTCATACCATATAGTGTGGGTTGTGGGGTGTGACTTAGTGAGCGTGAGCTTCATTGTGTTCTCACTTGTTATTTGAGAACAATTCATTGTATTTAACTTTTATTTGTAAGAATCACTTGTAATACACTTGTACACCGAGAGAAGTGTGAGACGAGAGACGGGGCCGAATCCAATAGGAGTGGCGTCGATTGACCGAGTGTGTAGAAGTTCCGGTTTCCAAACCGGATTGTGATAGTGGATATCTCCTCGAGGTGAGGAGCGGGGACGTAGGTCGTGGTGATCGAACCTCGTAAACATATCGTGTGTTTGTGTTTTGCTTAGCGTATATTTTATTCATCATTATTGTTCATATCCATATCATATTTCTTCTTGCAAGAACAAATTGATCAACATAATTTTAATTAGCTTTTAATTGGGATTAGATTAGCATAAGACCCTAATCAGCCCCTGTAGGGTCTAACAGATTGTACAATGGACCCATGTTGCTTATAGCACTGTAAAGGAGAATTATGTGCAATTGACATACAAGGATAATGTGGCTGCAAAATTCCATGTGTAAGTTTTTGAATGAAGTGTGGACTTTGCTTCTTTCTTTCCACTTATTGGGAACATGAATCCGTGAGTGAATAGTAAAAAGAGATTCAATATAGAGTTTGGATAGTTTGGAATGCAGCAATGTCATATATATAGTTCAGGGAAATATGACTTCATGATCTGTGTCTATGTGTTTTCTTGCTTGTTTGACGATTTTCCATTAAGATAAACTTGCAAGCTCATACTTATCATATTTGATTACGTAGAGTGTTTTATTTCTTAGATCTTTACATAGAAAGTGCTAGTGCTCACTGCTAATCAAATGTCATCATGGATGAGTCATCTCACTTCACCTATTTTTGCTTCTACAGAGACCGTGGATATCTCACACCTGATGATGTCTATGAGGTACTGTTATTTTTTTCTATTATTCTATATTTTACATTTTCCGTGAGGTTTCATTTGTTTCATATGGGTGCCCTCATGATCTATGTTATTATATCTGAAGAAAGAAATTCAGTGGAGTATGATCTGAGCCACTGCGAGTAGTATTCTCTTGCGATAGCATGTCGTCCGTTTAAGAACATGTGCAAGTCTTCATAGCAAATCAACTATCTGTATATAACACCAAAGGGTAAGGGTGCATGCATTTTGACATTACAAACCTTTGTTTTGTGTGTGTGTGTGTTTGTTTGTGTTTGGTGTTGGGGGTGGGGGTGGCGGGTGGCTTTGGGTTTACAAACAACCTGCTCCGTTTGCAGGAAAGAAACAAATGGTACAGGGTTTTGAAGGAGTATATTGTAGAACTGGCCTATTACAATTTAAATGTCTCTCTCCAAAACAATCTGCTCCATTTGCAAGAAAGAAGTGAATGGCTTGGTTAAAAGACTCTTGCGCCTTTTGCAAGTTATGCCCTACTTTTTTAGATTCTATCATTTCAATAGCACACCCAATAAGAATTTGAAAGGAAAATAGAAAATTTGGCTAATTGAAACATCTAACTGTTTTGCCCTTTGTTTCTTTGCACTTGAATAGACATACTCAATTATTCTCTTTATTATACTCTATATTATACTCCAAATTGAGAAGCATTACTGAAATATGCCTGCAGGCGCTACTGAAACTTGGCTTCTCACTTGACTCGCCCGCTTTTTACACTGTCTGTGAGGTACAATCTAGCCTTATTTTTTATCAGTTACTAAAAGGCAATGTTTTCTCATCTCCAGCAATTATGACTTTGTACATCAGCATCAAGCACCTCAAACTAGATAATTATTCATACTTGAGGAAACATTCTCTTTCTGTTTGATAATTTTTTAATTTAGCGGTATATTTTTATGCATTTGCTCCTCTATAAATGTTGGTGCATATAATATACTTGAGCTAGAGAGATATTGATTGATGTTTCCTGTTGCATTTTTTTAGAGCTTTGATCAGAACAAGAGAGGAATGGTTCAGTTGGATGACTTCATATCCCTATGTATATTTGTACAGTCAGCAAGGTATGCATACTCTGATATATAGGATTGAGTCATCTATAGGATCTGTGGTTTTCTTATGATTGTATAATCCCAAAGAGAATTAGTATGTTTGTAATTCAGAAGCTTTGCTTTCTTTAGAATCACATGGATGCTTCTTATTACATCTTGACGCATTTTTCTTATGTAACCTATTATTTGGATTCACCAACAGTTACATGTGTTTTGTTGCTTGTGTTTAATCTAATTTTGTGCCAATGTGATTTGAATTATTGTAGAAATTTGTGTATACCGCCTAATCCATGAACCACCCTTTTTTTCCTGTACAGAAATTTGTTTAATTCCTTCGATACCACTAAGCAGGGAAGGGTGACTCTGGATTTCAACCAGTTTGTTTACTGCTGTGAGTGGTTCTTCCATCTTTGTTTTTCATGCAATTATATTCTATCAGGGAAAATGTCACGTCTCATTGCTTATAATGTCCAGGGATAGTTGATTCCTGACAGAAATAATCTTTTAATGCATAATTGTTGACTGTAACTCATGCTTATCCCAAATATATTATAAAGATGCAACTGTTTTATTTTCTGACTGTTGTTTATCTGCAGCTGCAAACTGTAGGATATGAACTCACGGTTGCTTGGAGACCAGCCAGCTCTCATGGTATAACCATTGGCTACACTTGCATACTCTTTTTAACTTCTTTTGTATCAGTTTGCCTATATTTCTTAGCGATATTTGTATATGTAAATTTCTCCACTGCCTGCCTTTTTGTTTATTGATGTGCATAATCGTACAAATCTGCTTCCTTATCTCTTCTCTCTTATCATTTCCTGAACTTGATTGTCGTGAACAAAGCCAAACAATGATCTGTTTCTTATTCTGACATCAGAGTGCGTTATGCGACCTATGTCACTGATAACATCCAAAATTGTAACACTCAGATCTTTTTGCTGTCTATTTTGTTGATGAGTGTTTGTGTCTCCATTAGGCTGTGGCTCAGCTTTATGCATGCGTGAGATTTTGGACCCATTGGGTGTACGCAAGGAGCTCACCCGGCTATTAGGAAATAACCAGTTTTTTTTTTTACCCCAGAAAGAGAGATTCTTTCGCTATGATTTTCTACTTGAAGGATAAAAGTGTGAATTTCACAAACCCTTCGCTAAGCTCGACGTCCCACACAATTCTTCCAAACTTCAAAAAATTTACGGCGGATTTTCGTGTCTGTTTGGATGGGGGTGAATGGAGGAGAGGGGAAGTGAGGTGAGGAAGGTCACCCCCGGTTGGGAGTTTTATCGAAAAGGGAAATTGAGGGGGAGGGAGGCATTCCTCTCCAAATTGCTGTGCGGCGGAGGCGACAATTTCAACCGTTATGATATAAATTCAACGGCCTATTTTTAACTCAAAAATACAAATTTCCTATTTTCTTTATTGAACTTCTTCCAAATATAATGTTACATTTTCTCTCCTCTCTCTCTTTCACTTCCTCTCCGTTATTTTCTCCTCCCTCGCGTTCCCTTTCTCTACGTTATAGTAAACTTCCAAACTAAATAGTAAACGCCAATTAATTGAAATGTCATTGAAAGATAAATCCCATCTTACTTCATTTACCTTTTTTACAGGAAATCCGGCCCCCAATGAAAACTACCGCATGCCCAAGATTTTTTAAATGCACGTCACATGGGACTGTGCTATTGGAGTATGACGAAAGAATACCAAGGATGTGACGAAACACCCACCAATTTTTTAAATTTTCGAACGTCTCTTGGGCACCGAAGGAGCCGTCCTGTTTTCAGGAAAATCTAGATCCGCTCTGCAAAAAAAATAATGAAGAAATCGCCGATTTTTACTGTTATCGTTGACTTGTCTAATATGCGATTGTGATTTATTATGAATATAACATTCACTGTAATCTCATAAATTGTGCTCATTTTTAAATTTGCACTGAAATACGAATTACAATTATTATACGCAAATCGACGGTTGAGCTGAGAGTGGTGGCTTTTTTTTTTTTTTTTTTTTTTTGAGATGCATACAAAAACTGTACTGGACTTCAATTGTTGCTCCTTCGGCACAACGACTACCACTTGAAACGAACATGGGGCCCAAAATTCAACGAAGTCTAGCCTCATTTTTTTAGGCAGCGGGCCTTCACCAATAATTGTTACCACAAGGCCTTTTCAATTATGAGGAGAGAGAGAGAGAAAGAAACGAATCTCTTTTCTTACGTGATTGATTACGTCACTCTGTTTTATTCGGTGGAGTCTACAACTGAGCAATTGAACGGTCAAGGTTGGCCCAAAAATCACATCAACAAACTTTTATACTCTTCAATCACGAACTCAAATTATCATAAGCCCCCGTGTGTTATCTCATATTTTCATTAAAACCCTAAATCTATTATTTCATTTTATTAACACGGTCATAGTTTTTGTTTTCATCCTATTCAACTCTTATGGTGGTTCAACATCGCAAACTTACTATCAAAATCAAAATCTTAGCAAGGAAAAATTTAAAATATCGTAAAACTAGTCACATTCGACTCATATATTTCTGTGGAGATTTAATAATTATACCTGCATTTCTGGTGGAGTTAAAAGAAATAGCCATGATTTGATTTATAAATATGTATGGAGAATTAATATGTAAGTTGTGAAAACAAAGAGCGAGTGGAAATGGTGGGCACGCAGCCCTTTTCCTAGAAAAAGAGAAAAATTCGGTTAGGACAAAAGCAGCTTTCGTCGGATGCGGAGAGCAGCCCAAGACAAAAGGGGCTTATCTCAAATTTAGCTCCCCCAATCGCCGCTTTCATCGCGTGGCCCACCTCACGCGAATGTCAGGAACAAATGTTTAAAATAAACCCATTCAAAATTCTAATCCCAAAAATCGTCCTACTCCAAATTTTTTTACCAAAATCGACACACTTTCTCGTCACGTTAACTTCGTGACCAGAAAGTGGGTCATTTAAAAAAAAAATCACGGTCCTAATTAGTCAGGATTGTCAACCCCGACTAATTAGAACCTCACCCGCAGCCCTTTCGTGGTTAGGCGACTAAACAAGTCGGGGTTCGAAATCCCGACTAATTTGGGGATTGCACAAAATGGTCGGGGTCAAAAACCCCGATCATTTCAAAACGCGAAGTCGAAATGGTCGGGGTTCTCAACCCCGACCATTTAGCAGAGACTCGCAACAACCCCCAACCCAAAAATAAAGGAGGAACTAAGTCATGAAATAGTCGGGGTTGCCAACCCTGACTATTTTTGGTGGGTCCCCTCCCCCTTATATATACTGACCGAACCCATTTTTTCCCCATATCGTGGTTTTTCTCCTCTCCAACTCCGGTCTCCCTCATTCAGCCGCTTTCCCACTTCTCCCAACTCTATTTTGTGGTCGAAATTTGTCGTGAAAGTTTGCTTAAGATCTCTAGGGTAATTTCTCTTCCTTCTCTCCTTTTTTAACATGTACAAATCTAGGGTTTTCTATCAAAATCCAAATTCTAGGGTTTGAAATTTATTATCAATCACTATATTTGTGGTGGTTCTGTGTTGATTGTTGTAATTGAAATTAAACTTCTAGCGCATAGAATGCTCAATTTTAGGGTTTAGGGTTTTCATTTTGGGGTTTATGGTTTTTTGTCAAAATTATATGAGATTATTTGCATATTGGGTTTTCCTCTCTTATTCAATGCCTTGATAAACATTTTTAATTTTTTTGCATTTAAATGATATAATCTTCATTTGCATAGGTTGAACAATATGATTTTTATTGCTTGCTCTTATGGTGGAAAAATTAATTATAGAATGAATAATATACCAATATATATCGGAGGGGTAACATGTTAGATATAGGTGCCCTGCAGGCAATTATTGTATATTGTAACAGGACCTATATGTATATAACATCCTTGTTCAAAATGATAGTATGCTATTTTGGTCAGATTTATCTGATGTTCTAAATATACAGATAATGTCCTTAGAATAAATACTAGACTATCAGACATTTCGGATAGTGATCGTAATGAAGAGATCTGATTAGTCGGTAACGTATATTCTAAAATGTTCCTAGTTGATGAAGTGTTGAGATAGGACATCATCACTTTGGTTTAGACTAGTGTATGCTTTATTTCTCCTTTTAAAGGAGATGATCAATCTCTTAGATCATTGATGTGAGACATCAAGATACAGTATACAGGTGACTCATTAGTGAATGAGTTGACTGAACGACTCGCCGAGAACATCTAGTTGGTAATATACTTAACTGTCAAATAGAAGTTCTCAAGTGATATAGTACATAGTAGTCTCTTGACCTGAGGCATGAGTGCAATATCTTATATGTCAGTAAAGATGTATTTAGACTTTTACCTAACCACAGTTCTTATTGAATTGTGCATAACGGTTCTTGTTGGGTACATCCCGAGACATAAGTAGATATTGAGATGCCAAGAAGGGATTCGTCTCTCCCAGTATAGGGGTTGATGTCATAAGATTGTTTGATATAACTATAGCCTGGAAATCCTTGGCCAAGGTGAATAAGATAAACTGAGTGTCAGTTTGATCTTATAGGTTATGAGTTTAATATCAATAAACACTAATCAAGCTATTAGGGTTTGACAGTTTGCCATACCCTAGGCTCAATAGTTTGACATGGTTTGACGAAGAGACCGGACTGTACGGTATTATCATTGAGTGGTCCTGATAAAATTGGATAAGCATCTTGCAGACCTTTATCACAACTTATACCCGGGTGGTCTTCATGTGTAGCTAGCACCTCTGTTGTACTTATGGATATGATCCACTACCGAGTTTTTTAAGTTGGGCCCTAGAGTCACACCAAGCGCGTACTTGAATCCTATGAAACACAATTTATGGAGTGATGCGTATGATTGATACGCATATATGATTTCTTCCGGATACACATAAACGGTTATGTATATCGGTAAAATCGGAATGCTATGTGCTTAGGAAATGAATTCCAGTATTTTTCCCATAAAGTTAACTTTTAGTCAACTAGTTGACTTTTTGGTCAACAGTTGACTTTTGGTCAACTCTTGATTTATTTGGTCATATAGTGACTAATTAGTTAAAGATTGGAATAATACTATATACCGTATTTATGAAATACTGTATTAGTGATAATAATTTGGTATTCTCATTTATGAAATACACATACCATGTATAATGAGTCATGAGATGAGTCACTTAGTGGTATGGTTTGAGCACATGGTTTATTAGCACATGGTTTTGAAATGTAATGATTCATAAGATGATTCATTGCATGACTCACTTGATTAATCATTAATTTTTGATGATTCATTGCATGACTCATAGGATGAGTCATTCATATCATGAACACATTTCACTCTATAAATATGAGCTCTTTTTCTTATGGAAAGGTTAATGAAAAATTGGCTAAGTGTTTTTTCCATAAGAGAATAAAAGAGAGCTCTCCTCTTACTAAACTTTAGCAATCTTTGAGCAAGAGGAAGTAGTAGGATTTTAAGAACCCCGGGGTGGATATCTTGCCTTGTGTCTTAAGAAGACTCCCATTTTATCAAGCTCACTTGAAGACTTGGAGATCCACTACAAGGAGATTTTCTACTACAAGGAGCAAGAGCTAGGGGTTATTCGATCTTCCATCGAATCACGCTACGAAAGTATGACTTTCTAACTCTTGTATGCTCACTTAATAATAAGGATCATGTTAGATTTAATTAGACGATCCATATGAATATTTCATGCTCTCTACATGCTTAGTATTTTTGTACATACATGTCTTCCGCTGTGTATTATGCATGTAGACATAGCACGATTTCCTTCATGGTATCAGAGCTATGGTTCTATCTAATTGAATCTTAACATGTACATCTAACTCATGGAGGACCTTGTTCTTGCTTCTAATTTCTAGTTTACATGAAACTAGTTAATTAATTCAAGTTATTTTATAAAATAATTAATTACAACTAGTGTAGTTGTATGTTAGAAGCTTGTTAGTCTTTTTTGAGTTTGGATAATCCTTATGCTATCTAGTTTCCAATATGTTGCATAACTAGATAGATGCATATTTCTTAATGTTGATTAAGTTATATGATTTATCATCTTGCATGGATGTTATGTTTATGGATGGTAGTGGACAACTATTCTCTTGTATGTTTTGTATTGATGTAATAAAGTTAGAAATGTAATAATTATTTACGACCTCTTCCCTCCCCGAGCATGGGCTACGCCTACGGGTTTAGGCACTTGCTCACCGATCATGGGCTACGCCTACGGGTATAGGCCCTTGTTCGGGTGTGGGGGGGTATGGTTGCTTAGTTTAGTTATTTCATTTATAGCTTTTGCTTTATATTTAATGCAATATTATTACCCATCCTACGAGATGGTTTTTCCATTATAAATGGGGCTTGCACGTCCTATGTTTATATGATTGTAATAATACAGAGTTTGCAAGGGAACAAGCACCGCAAGGAGTTGCATATGGCTTGCTAAAATGTAATTAGTGTAGTTGCATTTTATTTTCTTTAGTTGTCCACTACCATTCTATATAAGTTTTACATTACATATGTTGATATGTTGGTTGTGCCCCAAATTGTAGATGTCAATACAATTGGGTGCTATTTTTTGCAAAGTTTATATCTCTATCTCACTAGAGAATAGTTTTTATTATAAAAACTCATTTTTTAAACTTTGTGAGACATGGCAATAAGAGTTTATTGACCATAGAGTGGTGAGATCGACATTAACATAGTGTTAGTGTGAAAGATAAATAAACCTAAAGCAGTTAAAAGAGATGTATTTAGAATGAGCTTTTAACTAGTGTCAAGGAAAGTAATTATGAGATATAGCTCATGGGGTGATGCCCAACTTAAGATTAGGGGTGATGCCCAATCTTTCGCGCTATAGTCTTAAAGAGAAGTGGTTACTTAATTAAGGTCCGATAAATATTCCCGGTGAATAGCTCGGAACCCTCCCACCAATC